TGTGCATTCTCAGGCGTTATTACCCTACGAGGCCGTCCGTTTTTGTTCCGACTGGTTCATGTGTGTCGTATTTTCCCTCGCTAGTTCATGCAAGGCCAGTTTTTACTCTTTATTTGTTAACCTTTGTATTTTTTACCTTTCGTGTGTGTTTTTGTTGTTTTTTTGTTTTTGTTGCTGACATCGGAAGGAAGCGTGCCTTTTGTTGTTGTTTTTTGTTTTGTTTTCTTTTCTTCATGTTGTTTATGTGTATGGTTATCCATATCTTCCTATTCCTATATTTCTTCTCTTCTGTTGTTATTTATTTAGAATAATCAGCGCCACGTCCCAGAAATGACTTTATTTTGTGGTCTCCTTTAGCCCTGGGAGGAGAGGAGACTTCTTATGCGGGATGCAGGAGTGAGGCGGCGGAGTTGTTGTTGTTATTGTTGTTGTTGTTGTTGTTGCGTGGGTCCTGTTAATGAGCCAGCGTACGGGAGCCCGGTTGTTTCTTTACCTCAGTCCTCGCTAAGTCTGTTTCTTTGGAACCGCTCTTTTCCCTCTTGTTCTCTCTTTCTCTTTGTTTTTGTTCGCTTTCTGTCGATTTTTTTTTAATTATCTGTTTTTTTTTTCGTTTTTTTTTCTCTGTGGGTATCTTTTTTTATTCTCTTTTTTTTCTTTGTGGGTATCTTTTTTTATTTTATTTTTTTTTCGCTTTTTTTATATTTGTCTCTTTATATCTGTTTCTTTCTCTCTTTGTTCTGTTTCAGTCTCTCTCTCTCTCTCTCTCTCTCTCTCTCTCTCTCTCTCTCTCTCTCTCTCTCTCTCTCTCTCTCTCTCTCTCTCTCTCTCTCTCTCTCTCTCCCTCTCTCTCTCTCTCTCTCTCTCTCTGTCTCTCTCTCTCTCTCTCTCTCTCTCTCTCTCTCTCTCTCTCTCTCTCTCTCTCTCTCTCTCTCTCTCTCTCTCTCTCTCTCTCTCTCTCTCTCTTTCTCTCTCTTCCTCTTCCCTCTCTCCACCCCTTTATTCCCTTCCACACTCGTTTTCTCCCCCTCTCCTTGTTCCTTGGTTATCGTTCCTTTCTCCCTTCGTCTTCTTCGCTTCGCTCACTCCTCCCACTTCTGCCTCTCAGCCCCGGCAATTATGACACGTATTGGATTGCTAATTACAATATCGCTTGGCGGGGGGGGTGGGGGAGGTGCGCCGAAGTACGAAGAGAGGAAGAGGAGATTATTAGAGAAAAGGAGAGGAGAGGAGGAGGATGTGGAGCTTAACCCGAACCGTTAACGGTATTTGTTGCCCAGTTCTTCCTCCTCCTCGTTTTTGTGTCGTCTCATCTTTTCTTTCCCTGCTTCCTCCTTCCTCCTTTCTTTCTTTCTTTCTTTTTTTTCCTTTTTTTTTGGTCCGTTCTCCACAAGTATATCTGATTTCTCTTTCCCTTCCTTCCCCGTCTTTCTCTTCATTTGTTTTTTTCCCCTTATCCTTTTCTCTCTTCTCCCTCCTCTTCCTTCTCCCTTTTCTCCCCGTCTTCCCCTTTCCCTCCTCTTATTCTTCTCCCTTCTCCTTCCCCCCCCCCCCTTTTCCCTTACTTCCTCTTCTCCCCTTCCCATCTCCTCTTCATCTTTCCCTCCTCTCCTCTCCCCTCTCCCTCTCCTCCTCCCCCCTCTCGCTCCCCTCCATTCCTCTCCCCTCCCTTCCTCTCCCCTTCTCCTCTCCTCCCTTCCCCTTCCTTTCCCTTCCCCTCCTCTCTCCCTTCTCCTTCCCTTTGCCTCCCCTCTCCCTTCTCCTCCCCTTTCCCTCCTCCCCCACACTCGCCCCCCCCCCCCTCAACCTCAGATAATGGACGCAAAAACCTGTAATGAACCATTTCATCTCGACATCCCCTTTTTCACCGGCCACCAAAATGTTATTGCAAAATGATACGGTAACTACTGCCTGAGCGGTTTACACGTACGTTTTTTTTTCTTTTTCTCTCTCTCTCTCTCTCTCTCTCTCTCTCTCTCTCTCTCTCTCTCTCTCTCTCTCTCTCTCTCTCTCTCTCTCTCTCTCTCTCTCTCTCTCTCTCTCTCGATACGCGGTTTACAGCAGGATTTTTTTTTCTGTTCTTCGGGAATGAGTGTATGTTACGGTTACGTAGTGTGCGTGTAGGTTGAATGGACTGTCCTCTTTAGATTCTTGGTTTATTGTGGTTGTTTGGTGTGTTTGGGAAATAGGCTTCGTTTATTGTATTTGTTAGATGTGTAGGTAACGGATTTAGTTTGTTTTAATTTGTTAAAAGTGTTGGTTACAAACTTGGTATATTGAAGTTGTTCAGAATGGATGAAGTAAAAAGTAGTAATGGAAACCCTTCCTCTTGTATTTCTTCTTCTTCTTCTTCTTCTTCTTCCCGCCGACCAGCCGTAATTCAGCGGGCTTCGGCGAGTCCCCAAGGAGGCGCTGGAATGCCGCGAGGTGGCCCTGAGGAAGTCGCGGCGGCAGTCCGGCCGACCTCAGGATTCCCCCAAGTGAAAATCTGGCGGAGGCTACT